CACCCTGTATTTGCGTTTGTCCTTCTGCCCCCCTCAAGTGGACTGACCCAGTGAAATGCAGCGTAGCCCACCACCAAACCCTCAGGGCAAAGAGCACAACGCTAACATTTTCCCTGTCATTTCTGATACCTTAATCATCTAGATTTTTCTTGGAATTTATAGCCACAAAAATGTAATTCTTTGGATAGTTTCTTATCTCCTTCTGAATTAATTCCACATTTACCACTTGGAATTCATTTTGAACCAGCCTTTTATTTTCTGAGATTGTATTTGCTTTAAGATGTCATAAATATTGATGTTGCGAGGAGAACACAAACTATCTTTTTCTAAGTGTCACAAACTTATTCCCGGCTAGGGACAGGTCATCACGTGGAACTCCTCTTCTCCGGTGGGGTGGAGGTTAATGCTTCTTGGGGACTAAATTCCTTTTGCATGTTCCACTTCTTTCTCTCAACTCATGCTTTCCTGTGTTGCTTAGACTAAAAGCATTACAGGGGTCAGATCATGGAAAGTGTAACTTAATTTCCGAAGCATTGCTTTTAACCTGCCACCCCCAGTTCCCATCCACCACTGCAGTACCTCTTAAATAACCAGCACTGGGGGCCAGAACAAATAATACATCAAATATTTAGCTTTCCCAATTAATAGGATGTCTTCTGATCTTCTAAAGAATTTTTCACCCACACAATTGTCTTTGAGGGAGAAGGAGGTTCAAATTCCCTGCACCAGCAAAACCTCATTAAAAATGAATTTCGACATGAGTATCAGAGCAAGGGCACAAGTTCGGCTGTGACATTTGCTACAATTCCGCTGATCACAGGCCTTCCTCAAGTACTAATGAAGCAGCCGCTTGAAGAAGAAGCAGCAGGCCCAGCAGATGTCGGCTGGGAACCAATATAGTAGATGTTTTTTCTGTGTGACTCGATCAAAAGACACCTCAGGAGGGGCACTGAAATTTGTTTTTAGTAGCGGCTCCTTGTTGATGCATTTCCTAGTAGAACTGATTAACTTCCTTCTGCAATTCTTAACTCAGTAGTTCCCTTGAAGAGGCGTCTACTTGGACCCTGGAGGGTGCTCTAACCCCAGAAGCCAGGTGGGAGAGAGTAAGCTTGTCTACCCAAGTGCGCCATAATTTTGGTGCATTTTGTCTGTGAAATCTTTTAAATACCTTCAAACCATCCCTTCTCCTTGTATTCTTGTATGCGCAAATACAGCAAGGTCTTTTGCCACTCATGAAAAGACTTGGGTGTTTATAACCTAAGAAAATTCTCGGAACGTCATCTCACCAATTAGAACTTCAGTTTCTGCTCTTAAATCAGGACCTTCATTACCATGGCTAATTCTTCCATAACAACAAAATGTAGTGGGCATTTTAAAACCATCTACATCGCTTCCATCCAATATGAGAAACAAGCAAAAGTGCCTTTCATTGGAGAAATGCTTTAATCTCCAACGACTGCCCAGGGTTTTATTGGTAAAACAAGAGGTAACTGAGCTGCCCGACGGAGGAAGTAGTGTTTCCCTGGAAAATCAAGCACGCAGCAGAGAACCTCGGCCCGGGATCCATCTCAACCTGGACTGGGGCGAGGGGAAGAGCCTCTGATTCCTTTGACAGCATTGTATACAACATCTTCATTGTGGTTTTCGGAACCTGCTGAAATCTGACCTTCCGGCAAGTGCTACTTTCATTGGAAAACTGGCAACTGGAGAAGATACCAGGGCCAGTTGCAAACTTTCTTAAGTGTGGTGCGCGATTCAGACTGTGGGCTAGAAAATTAGGTTGGAGCGCTTAGAGGCACAGAGGAAGCTCGCTGGTACTTTAAATTCAGTAGTTGAAAAGTCCGGGTGATATTTGTGACTGTGAAAAGTAGTCTGTGGTCACCAAAGTGAACACATGGGCTTGCTCCACCCCGGGGCCACACCTCCCAGGGGGCGCCACTGTCCCTGTGCAGCCTCTGCTGATGAACACCCCACCCAGGCCCACCCCAACCTTGCACCCACACTCCCTGAGAGAAAGGCTGACAGCTATCACTCCCCAGAGGATGCAAAAATTGAAAACACCTGGAGTTAACTCTCCCAAAGTCAGCCGGAAAGCAGTAGACAGGTGAGACCCCAGAAGCTTCTGCAAGCAGTGTTTAGGGACATATTATTTTATCTTCCTTTCTTCTTTTTATCATAGCTAAATATTTATGTGGCCAGACTTTGCTATTATTTTGCAGTGAAATCAGCCTAGAATAATTATGTCTAACAAGGTGATTTACTTTCATATTTCTCTAAAATACATCTACAAAAGCAAATACAACTGCGAATATATTTTACTTTGAGGCATCTGAAAAAAATACAAACTTGATAAAAACATTGAGGATAAGGAACCCATTATAGATATAAGTATATCAAAGTTTAAGAAATGTGTGTTTGTAAACATGGGGGTATGTATGCAATCAAATTCTAGGCAAAAACATTGAATTAAATTGTGTTGTTTTGCAAAGTGAAATAACTGTTCTGATTTTGTGGTTCAGAATCCAGTCGAGTGTTTTCTTCCCTATTGGTCAATGCCAGCCCTCTTCCATCTGTTTTACTGACTGGAGCACACTGAAGGTTTCAGGATTAGACTTTGTGCAAGTGAAATGGATATACTTCTAAATTTACTTATTGTATTTATCATATTTTTGACCAAAATAAACTTGCTCTCCTATTCTGTGTAATAAGACTCATAATGAAAAATACACCTTATGACATTTGAAACACATGTAAAAGACAATAGTGAGACCAGGTAATGTAAAGGACTCGTGTGTGGTGTTCAGGGAGGTCACTCAGGCGTCCAGACCCAGCAAGCCCACGTGCCAGCCTCCAGCAGGGCCGGTCCCTGGAGTAATCCGAGGGGTAGACAAGCCTGTTGTCATTGGTGGCCCTAATCCATTGACCAGAGCTTGAAGAGTACTCAGGACAACAAGAGTGGGAATGAGGAAAATCAACATGATTGGGGGATTTTCTGTTTCTTACAAGGCTACATGATCAAAAGGCTTGCAGCAGCTGACATAGGACTTAGGTTTGATGAGTCAATCTAGGGGCATGGAGACAGCGCCCCTCCTCCTCTTCCCCTCTCCTTCCTCCCCTGCCTCTCCCTCCCCCTTCTCCTCCTATTTCTCTCTCCCCCTCCACCCCCACTTTTCCCTTCTCCTCCCCACTCCTCCCCTCCATTTCCCTCCTCCCGTCCTTCTCTCCTCCCCCTCCTCTCTCCTCCCCCTCCTCTCCTTCCTTCCTCCCCTCCTCTTCTCCCCTCCCCCTACCTCCCTTGCCCCTTCCCTCCCCCTCTGCAGCCCAGCACCTAGCATGCACGGAGGAGGAGGGGACTGCTCCTTCTCTGCTGGCCTGTGAGCAGAGTCATGAGAAGCTGAGTGACAATATTAGGTCATTTTGAATAAGGTTCCTGAACTACCTTCAGTAAGTGGTTATGAGACTCCCCTCTCCTAAAAGGACATTTCCGTATTTTTGAAGTTGGGTGCTTTCCCCTGTGTTTCAAGTGTTGCAGGCAGTGGAGAAAGTTCCCTCCTGTTTCCTGTGGTATGAACCTCTCCTCACACCCTACAGGCACCTCAGATTTGCGAAGGATTGAAAGAAAAATAGGAGAAAACTTAACACTGCAGAACCCTGGTGTGTGTGGGACTCCCTGAACACATGACATGTGTCCCGCAGAAAATGTATAACCTTTCACCAGTCATGAGGGCTCAGAAATATTCTCTGCATGCTGGGCCTTGACTCTCAGCAGGGACTTTTGTGAACTTTGTCATCTTCTCCTGACCTTGAAGCCCAAACAAGGGAAGTGGCTTTAATTAATCAGATATAGTGCACGAAAATGTTAGCCAGAGCCTTCCAGAAGCTGCGAAGCCGTAGATGTTTTAAAATTCTGAGTATCCTTTCGAGAATCCTCTGTTGTAATTTATAATTCTCAGTAGACCTATATTTGTCTTGAATGATTGTTGGAATGGGCCTTCCTAGCAATTTCTTCACTGGAATTGCAGCAGGGCCAGGGCTTGGGGTGGAGGAGCCCAGGGCTTGGTGGGAGGAGGGCACCATTTCTAAGGAGGCTTTACAACCTTCAGGGGTTAAAGTTACACTGATGAGAAGGTTATGTATGCGTGTGTGCACAGAAACCATTATGCACGCACACACACACACAAAGTGCACAAGTTCAGCAGCATTGTGTAATGAGCGTGAATTGTAAATTATGTAGGTAGCAGAAATCACATTTTTTTAGTCAACATTGCACCCCAAAATGGCTTTAAAACAATGCTCGCCTGGGGAAGTAAATTTATAGCTACATGCCTTTCACAGGCTTGCTGGAGGGCTGTGCTCCCGGCTCTGGGCTGGAGGAGAGGAGATGTTTTTTGCATGTGTGTGACAGGAGGCGAGGGAGCTGCGCCCGCCCGCTCTCCCATTGTCAGCCAGCCGGAGCGCTGGGACGGGTCCTGTCTGCGGGCTCTGCGTGCTCTCCACCCCATGTGCACAGGAAAAGTCTGCGTGGCTGTGCTGCTCTGGCTGGCTCTCCAGCTCGCTCTCCAGCTCGCTCTCCAGCGCTCTCTCTCTCTCTCTCTCTCTCTCTCTCTCTCTCTCTCTCTCTCTCCCTCTCTCTCCCTCTCTCTCCCTCTCTCTCTCTCTCTCTCTCTCTCTCTGTTTCCCTTTCATTCTGCTTCCCCGGAGCCGAATGAGGCAGCAGCCAGCAGGATTAGTGTCCGCCACCGGCTATCAGAGGAGCTCAGATAAAAGGACCTGCTTCCCAGCCAGCCCTGCAGCAGCCTCCTGAATCCTTTTCTTTCCACACAACAGTTGTGCCTCATTATCCGGTGCTGGCTTCTTTCTTTTTTTTGCTTCTCCTTCTTGAGGGTTTGAAGTTTTTGTGCTTCAGAGGCTGTTGCCGAGGAAGAGGTGTTGGTGTTGCCGTTTGGGCTTGATCGGCTGCATTTATGAATGGGACTGACCTAGTCACCTGTTACCTCCAGTTTCCAGATTGTTTGAACTTCTCTGGCCGCACAGCAGCGCGGGCAGGAAGGTGGCGGCCGGGAGGACCCACGGCGCCTGCAGCATGGGCTGGCTGGCCGGGCTGCTCTGCGTCTTCTGGGGAGCGTTACTCTCGGCAGGAGCAAACTACGCACACAGCAAGAACAATGTGCCAAGGCTGAAATTCTCCTACAAAGGTAAGTCTTGGTTTTCCTTTGATTTGGCTGGCTTTGTAATTCATCTCCCCCTCGTTCCAATTCCTCCCAGTCCAGACCCTCCAACCTGGACTTAGCCTGTAAAACCCTGTGGTTATGGCCATCTTCCTGAGACCACTGGAGTACTTTTTTAAAAAGAACAGGTCTTGTGTTTGCTGTGTGACAATTTAAGTGCAAACAAAGAACATTTAATCACATTTTCTGAGGAGCTGCGTGCCCGGCTCCGGCAGAACTGAGTATCTTAAGATCCTTTCGCCTGTTCTGTTCATTTTGCTGACTTTGCTTCTTTTAAAATATTTTTTAAAACAGTACTAATGCAAAAGTGAGCTTTTTATATATGTGCCTGCAATAATTGGGATGATGAATTGCATTTTCTTAGTTGTGGACGCGAGATGGTTAATCGCCGTCATGAATATTTCTCAGATCTGACAATCAGATGCTTCACACAAGCAGTCGATCTTGATTTGCCAGGAGAATATAAACTGGAGAGAACATACTAGTTTTTCCACAGTGTGTTGATTGTACAAAAGACTGTGTATTGGACTAATTGGTGTCAAGCTAGCCTTGGAAATACAATGTTATTTCATTCCATGTGCACCGCGGTGAGGACTGAGGAGATGTTACTCTCCAGCTACACAGTCCTGTGAACTCCTTTTTAAAAAGTATAAACCTAAGAAAGAAAGAAAAAAAAAAAAAACACCAACCTCATCACATGGTACTCTATTTGGTATAGTGTTAAGTATGTGCTTGTTTTTAAATAAGGATTTTTAAAGAAAATACTTATTCTAAGTCTGTTTGGATAGATTTTACACAGTGATGTGTAATATAATGCTACAATGATACCAAAAGGGTATATAGACACAAAACTTCATTTGGAAGAAAATATTCACATAACTTAGGTACGATTACATGAATTGAAGATTAAACAGCTTTAACCCAGTGGTTTTACTCCCCGAGGTGCTGATTTCTGAGGAGTCTCAGATTTCCAATTGGGGGTGGGGCAGTGAGAAGCTTCAGTGTGCTAAGTTTTAAGCCTCAACAGAAAACTGCTGGGTATCAGCAGAGCTGATGTGCATTGTACATTGTTCTTATGCCAGAAATACATATTCTTAATTTTCACATGGTAGGGAACATCTTTCTGAATGTGCTGAGATGAATGATATCTCAAAAAGGAGAGAGAGATAATGTTTTTGCTCTGAATTAGAAAATTTGAAGCCTATAAAAGATGTTTACTTAAACTTACAATTTGGATAAAATCCACTGAATAGGAAAATTTTTAATGTAGTATTTTCGTGTCTTTCTAGTTATAAATAGAGTTTAGGCCTTAAAATTGTACTTTTATTATATGTTTTAAAAATCATGTAGATTCTACTAAATAGTTAATTGACTCTCTATAATGGTTCTACTTAATGACTGTCTTTAAATTGTTTCCAGAATATATCATGTTAGGCAAGTGGATTTCCATCATTCTTTCTTTAATGTTTGCTCCTTAGTAAAGTACCATCAAACAATTCTTAGCTGGGTGGTCATTTGTATGCAAGTTTATATTTCTTATAAGTAAGTTTAACATAAACTTTAATTCTAAAAGATATGCAGGCCTATGGGATAAAATTTTAGGTTGACAAGTTTGAAATTACATTTGAAATATATGCTAGAGTTACAATTAGTTATCTACATGATACACTTAAAATAAGTTTAAAATTTTAAATTAGCTTTTTATTTTATAATAATTTCATTTTCATGGTAGCAGACTATTCTAATCTACTTTGTGATAAACTGTACATGGGTGCACATCCTGTCAGAAGATAGTGCTTAATTAACAGATTCTTCTGCAGTGTACACTGAGAAAGCAAACTGTATACACTGAGAGGATGTACTTGACAAGGTCCTCAGAGGGCTGTGGTGACTGTAGCATGATTATTCTGCTTTCCTCTCAATGAAAAGGTGCCCCCCACTCGTATGAAAATTCCACTGACTCACCCAGAGCCCTGCAGTTTGTTAAAATGAACTGCAAATGGACAAGAAGAAAAGCAGTGGTCCAAGCACTTACCTCTGTCACCTTCCTGGTCCATCATTACCTGTGTACACTTATTTTCCAAAACAAATGCCTGGCGGCCAGTGACCCGCAGTTTGTTTCTATACTACAGGAGAGATTTCCTTTTCAAAACTACTATTTTGTCCTCCTTAATTAGATGTCAAACACAGTCGAAACGTGCCTTGCACTGCCCTTAGAAATGTTCCAGCATGACTCCTGAGGAGTTAAATCCCTGCCAACCTGCATTTCCCATGGTCACTTGTTTTCAAAGATGCACCATTAACCCTCTGGCTGCTCAGGTCCCAAGGTGAGGCTGCAGGCACTCTGCATGCTCACGTCTGCCGTGTCATCGTGCCTGGCAGGAGGTGAAGGAGCCGGGTGCAAGCAGGCAGAGAGGAAGGGAAGGGACACCAGAGTGCTGCCCATGCAGCCCTGCGCCCGCACACTCCTGAGGTGCCTCTTACTTTCTAGGAAAAGGGAGCTAGAGATGGCGCCGACCATCTGGAGAAGTGATAATATTAGAAAAATGGGGTGTGCTGGCTTTTCCTCTGAACCAACCTGATTTAGAATCCTTGTGGGGGAAGAAAATGTGAGAACTCTGTAAATCTCAGCAGTCACAGAGAAGTTATCTCAGGAAGCATTCGCCCAGGCTCACTGCTGCCTGCCTTGAACGTCTGCACCATGGCTGAGGGGCGAACGCGCCCCCTTAAAATGAGTGCAGAACTGCATCCTCTGGAAAGCTCTCAGAGTTCATGTTCCTCGTGAAACACTGGGAAATCAGACAATGAAGTTTTCAGATAACCTATGCGATTCATAAGGCGGAGAGGAGGCTCGGGGCTCTAAACAAATGACAACTGTCCTGTCACTCAGTGACGGGTTTTTCCAGAACATCGCATGGGTCAGCTTTAGTAGAAATCAGAGACATCGCAAATCTCAATGTGAGGGGATCTTGTGACCCAAAGGTTAAATCAATGATTTTAACCTTCATGGGCAGGACTCCGTTACTAGTGCTTAAATAACTAGTAGTCATTTCAAAGTCTCTATACCTGCTGAAGGATATTTTTCAGAGTCAATTTATTTAATGATTCTAAAAATGGCACCACAAATTTAATCGAAGTTCTTGTATGTATCGGTTTGGTACTAGAAGACAATTCTAATTAAAATTCAAAAATAAACATTTCAAATGCTTTTACTCATTTTTCACTCATTATGTTTGCTTCAAAACTAATATGAATTACTGACTAGACTGGACTTCTGTCCAACAATTGACCTTTAGCAAAGCAATGTACATGTGGTGTACATACATGTATATGTGCATATGCAAACACGTCTGTGTATATTTGTACATGTTTGATATATGCACACATGCTAAAGTGAGCATCTTCATGTTGATACCTCTGGTTAAAAAAGTACATTCAACTGTCTAGAAAATGTGAATTATAGTAAAGTTGTCAAAAGTTATTGGTTTAAAATAGCATTTATATTTAATATGTGATATGAAAAGTGTTCATCAATACCTTACATATTCCCATGAGAGTATAAAATAAAATTTGTCCTACACTAAAAATTCATTCACAAGTAAAAGGAATATTTTTAGGAAGAAAAGGATGCAGACACGTAGGCATAAATGTGTGTGTGTGTGTGTGTGTGTGTGTGTGTGTGTGTGTGCAGGCGCACATAGAACAACAAAGTTAAAAATTCTTTGCAAATGTGTCCGTGCGCTGTGCTGCAGCTCTTTGATTTGCTGTTACTGACATCACCTTTCCTTCTCAAATTTTTTAACTTTAAATCATATTGGTTCTGAAATCATAAAATAAACAGAACAAAAGGAAAAACATTTTATCCATTTAAATATGTCCTGGCAATATAAGGGGAAATGAGCATAAATAAAGGCCAGCGGTCACAGAGCCTGTGACCCCCCTGTGGTCGGACCTGGAGAGGGCAGCGGACGCCTTACATGCGTGGACCCTCGCTCATGCTGTCCATCAGCTTGGTCTTAGAAATAGTAACTTACCAAGTGTGGACTTAGCAAGTAGGAAAATGACTGAGACCACAAAACCATTCCCTCTGCGTCTGTAAACTGTCAACTTCAGTGATAGTCATCACTGGCTTAAATAAATACAAATATTGGACAGATATTTTCCCAATACTAACTTTTATATTTTTCCATTTATGTGAATGATTTTCATGACAACTAATACACTGTACCTACCTATTTAGTCAACTAAATAGATACATGCATCAATGATATCAGATTTCTGTTGGTTTTCTGATTCTTCATTATCACACATAGACAATATAATTAGCAAATAAATTGTGATGTGTGGTCAATTATATTTAGACTCCATACTCAAACATGAAAATAATTGAAAGATTGCTCAGAAATAAATTTAATTAAAATTAATAGGTCACATGCATCCCCATTAGCAAGAATAAACGTGAACCTTTGCTTACAGATGGTGTTACTGTCAGCACGAATGCATGCCTGCCTGTGGACTACAGTTTATGACAAATTCCCGGATGTGTGCTTTATAGTTATCATGAACTGCAAGGTGTCTACAAGAAGTTAGGCTAAGTCTTTTTCCCAGATTTTCTCATTTAACTTTCACTAACACATGTCTGCACCCCAGCTCCAAAACTCAGAGTGGCGCATCTTCACTACTTTTGAATAATTTTAAATGTGAAGACAGCACCATCCTAACCAAATTCATACTTAATTTTTTCTAAAATCTTCCAAGGTGACCACTACTATGATAAATGTTGGGTTGATTTTTATCTAACAGTTTTTATTTACAAGGTCCCGATGCTATACCCTGGAAAGTCTCATGCTAACGTGATAAAGCATTACTCTCATCAAAATCTCATGAGCATAAATCTACAGTAGAATGGTCCATTGTTGCAAGATTGCACGTGAAATGTCCAAAGCTTGTGACAGCATCACCTGAGT